AGAAACGGTACTATTCCCACCTCTCGTACCCACCGCTGCAACTCCTGTGTAGCCAGGATCTACAGCTTGACCGCCAATAAAAACCCAACCAGCACCAAACCTTAGAAAATCAGAAATCAAATTGCAGCCTTAGGAATGTAGGGGAAACCGAGACACTATAAAGGTACATCGGGACGCCTAGTGTCCTGATTTCCATGTCAAACCGGGACACAAAGGTACATCGGGACGCCTAGTGTCAAACTGGGACAGAATTTAAGGTAGGTACATCGGGACCCCTAGTGCCCTGATTTCCATGTCACCAGACCCCTGAAAATCCTCTCTTTGCGCCAATCGGGACACCTAACTAAATACAAATTTGCGGCTATAAACATTCGTAATTGACCGAAACTGGCCTCTTCCAAAACCTCATTAGGGACACAAATTAGGGATTCCAGACTCGCTTCCTAACAGACGAAAATACAGTCGAACGTACCTACATCAGACTATACATATACTTTTGTAAAATAGCCTCTATTACAACGCCATAAAAAGCCACTATGATTAGCTTAAATTATGTTGTAGTGTACAGTCAGCGTCAAATAATTCGTGACACCCAAAGTGACCAAAAAGTCCGCAACACGTCTTTGTTACAATAAAGTTGTGTTGGTGACTGAGTTTGTTGCAGCGCTTCTTCTCAGCACTTGCCAAATGGTGGTCTCGAAGCGCTCTGGTAGGGCAAAAAGATTAAGACATGTGAAGGCTCCATAAGAGAAAAATGTAAAGTTCAGAATCAGAATCATCATTTATTATTTGCTTTATTAGTTTTTTTAGACTTGTTTTTTTTTATTTTAATACTAGCTTTTGCCCGCGGCTTCACCCGCGTGAAATTTTAGTTTGTCACAGATCGTCATAAATTATAGCCTATTATGTTATTCTGGGTTATAAAGAATAATACTGTAAAGTTTCATCAAAATCCGATCTGTAGTTTTTTGCGTGAAAGAGTAACAAACATCCATCTAAAGCCCGGTCTGTGAGCACGTAGAATTTTGTCCATTGACCCTAAGCTACCCATCCCATATATTGCTGTCGCGACTGTGCGACGGGCGCCCACAGTGAGTGTGCGAGCGCGACAGCAAGCGATAAGGATGGGTAGCTTGGGGTTATTGGACAAAATTCTACGTGCTCACAGACCAGACTATAGACATCCAAACTTTCGCATTTATAATATTAGTAGGATATTAGTAGGATTTGACGATTTGTAAGCACTATTGTTAATAGTCCATGTGAATGCAGGAATCTTTTTGGCCACGTTGCGTGTCACGAATATTCGACTCTGACTGTACTTCCCGTTTCCAAACACAGAACGTCCTGTTGCGTAATTATCTTTACTTATTAAGCTCCTTTGTCCATTTTGCGTGTGATTTGTAGTCTGTTGTTGTTCTGCTGGCAACACTTCAGACAAGTCATTGTTCTATTGGATTTTATATGCATCACAGTTTATTTTGAATGCTGACGAAGCCGTGTAGAGAAGATAGTTTTGTGTTTAAGATTTTGCTACTTTTGTGTCTGCTGTCGTTGTGTAGTCAGCGTCAAATATACTCAACATCAAATAAACCGCACCTTCCGCGACGCGAACTTTAAAGATTTTCTTCTGACACAATCATGGTGCCCCAACAAAATTGGTGTTATTTGAAAGCCCAATAAATATCCTTAAAGAAAAACACATACCATAAATGTGCCTTGAAAAAAGACCTCACTTTGGGCTCCCCTCTGGGATCAATTAGACCAATTTTTATGATTATAAAACCAAATAATGAACTCACGTGTCCTCTTTAACAGATGGATAGCGTTTAATCCCAACTTAACAGTTTTATAGCCATAAAAGTTAGCTCAAGCGTCACTACCTATTTTTTGAAAAAGTGACTCTGGATCCTTCCAAAAACACATTTTTGGGGTAAAAACCTTTCCTTTAATGAAAAGAAGTTGAGAACTAGGCTTTTAAATGGTGCCAATATTGGTAGGAAGTGGGGATGCATACGTTTGAGAAGTGCTTGTTGCGGGAGGTGCGATTTATTTGATGCCGAGTGTAGTTCGTGACACTTTTGGGTGTCGCTAACTACATATCGACGCTCACTGTACCTTTAAAGGAAATAGACATTACTCATCCTTTCTTGAGGGTGAACGGCGCCAATATTCTTCTCCTTCCATAAAATAGATTAAACATAATTCCCAGGGATGTTGAGAAACTTGTCATATCTACAAAACTGCATTATTTCCTGTTTTACTAGTATCAGGCCTGGCTCACTCCGCGCGGTACATCCGATAATTACCTACAGCGAAGCGCCCCGCCGCACGGTGGNTTAATCATTAATGATTTAGCATGAATTATCATGAATAATATTAACTACTTATTTACCTCTCAGTGTCTTGAGGCAACTTAAAAAAGTAGATTCTATGTTTTTATTATTATTTAGGCAGTTAAATACTGCACAGTATTTAGTACACCATTTTCTTTATTTTCTTCCATCATACACAATAATACGCGTGCGTGAGTCAATGTTCGCTCGCATGTGAGGCCTTGTCGAATAGTATCCTGTAGGTGAGCCATCGTGCGTGTTTTGTTTTCGATGTAAACTCGCGGAGATGAACAGGCCTGGTGTGACGTGCAAATTTTGGGACACCCTGTATGTATCTTTTGTGCAGAACAAGGCAGGTATTTGACTGCAATCACACGTGAATCCTGATAGTACCTGATCAATCTCTCTATAAGTGGCCAGGTTGTGTATCAGCTCGTATTATTTTCTTCTTGGTCGCTTCGCCGTCAGCCAGGCTAAAGCCCGGTCTGTGAGCACGTAGAATTTTGAGCAATGACCCCAAGCTACCCATACTTATCGCTCGCGCGTAATTATATTGCTGTCGCGACTGTGCGACGCGCGCCCGCAGTGAGTGTGCGAGCGCGACAGCAACATAATTACGCGCGAGCGATAAGGATGGGTAGCTTGGGGTCATTGGACGAAATTCTACGTGCTCGCGGACCAGACTATAGTCTACTACAGCGGTTCCCAAACTTATTTAGTCTACCGCCCACTTTGAGAATAAAATATTTTTAGCGCCTCCCATTTTTGTAGTCAAGAGTCGAGCTCAGTCGGTGTCTAAGAGTCCTCCTAGTAGATGACGCCTCCCAAGCCTTTACACAACGTCCCGATTTTTTTTTTCTGGGTCTCTTACCGCCTGCAGCGCCCACAAAGGGGCGTTATCGCCCACTTTGGGAAAGACTGGTCTACTACAACTACCCACATATTAGCATATATTACCTGATCAATTTCCCTGTAAGTGGCCAGGTTGTGTATCAGCTCGTCGGTAGCGTTGCCCTCGCCACAGCACAGCACGCCGCAAGCGGAGCGAGTAGCCCTCGCCCGCCCGCGGCATAGGCCGTAGGATCGGTACCAACCAGGTAGGATGCGGGGCGTGATAAAATCTTATCGATGATTTTAGACGATAAATGTATGGGCTTGTCGCGTAAATTCGATAAAATGACGCGATAAACGCTTATCGCGGCGCGCATCCTATGCCTACTGATAGGGTCACTGGAGGCCTGACGGGGTAGTCGCATAGCAAGAGATTCCAAGCGTCGCCAAGGGCCGTCGGAAGACTCCGTGCAAAGTCAAAGTCAAAATGCTTTTTCATGGACTATTAAAAATACTTACATATTATGTCATCGGGCAGAGACAGTGCTCGCGAGGATTTTTGTAATTTTCAACTTTGGCGTGCCATTTCAAACCGTATGACATAAAAATTAGGGTTGGATTTAAATTTTTTTCTTCTTGGTCTCTTCACCTCTCCAGCCAGTTCGACCTCACCAGGAATTGCTGCCATCTACCCAATGAGGGCTATCGTTTTTATACTTAACAGTTGGCACCCCTGGCGATTGACAGGACCTTACTCTACAGTGGCGCCATCTTGATGAGTGCAAATGCGATAGTCCTCCTACCACTTTAGCGCTCACCAGTTGGTGCCACTGTCTTCGCTACTAGCAAGTGACAGGACCTTACTCTACAGTGGCGCTAACTGGTGAGCGCTAAAACGATAGCCCTCATTACGCGCGAGCGATAAGGATGGGTAGCTTGGGGTCATTGGACAAAATTCTACGTGCTCGCGGACCAGACTATAGTCTACTACAACTACCCACATATTATGTATATTACCTGATCAATCTCCCTGTAAGTGGCCAGGTTGTGTATCAGCTCGTCGGTAGCGTTGCCCTCACCACAGCACAGCACGCCGCAAGCGGAGCGAGTAGCCCTCGCCCGCCCGCGGCATAGGCCGTAGGATCGGTACCAACCAGGTACGATGCGGGGCGTGATAAAATCTTATCGATGATTTTAGACGATAAATGTATGGGCTTGTCGCGTAGAATCGATAAAATGGCGTGATAAACACTTATCGCGGCGCGCATCCTATGCCTACTGATAGGGTCACTGGAGACGACGGGGTAGTCGCATAGCAAGAGATTTTGGAATCTCTAATCGCGTCAAATTTAATTAGTTTATTCTGTACATAGGCCCTTTCCAGGGCACTTATACGTCACCAAGGGCCGTCGGAAGACTCCGTGCAAAGTCAAAGTCAAAATGCTTTTTCATGGACTATTAAAAATGGTACTTACTTATTTCACCAGGCGGAGCTGTCGAGCGCTAGAAGTATAGATGACTTACACTGAACTGTCCCGCCAAACTCATTGACAGGGGGCGCCATTATCGTTCAACATGGCAAAAATCGGAACCAGCGATCCGGTGTTGACGGTAGCGCCTGTCAATGTCACGGGTGGGACAGTTCTGTAGTGGCCAGGTTGTGTTTTAGCTCATATTATTTTCTTCTTGGTCGCTTCGCCGTCAGCCAGGCTAAAGCCCGGTCTGTGAGCACGTAGAATTTTGAGCAATGACCCCAAGCTACCCATCCTTATCGCTCGCGCGTAATTATATTACTGTCGCGCTCGCACCCTCACTGCGGGCGCCCGTCGCACAGTCGCAACAGCAACATAATTACGCGCGAGCGATAAGGATGGGTAGCTTGGGGTCATTGGACGAAATTCTATCTGCTCGGCGACCGGACTTTACCCAAATATTAGCATATATTACCTGATCAATCTCCCTATAAGTGGCCAGGTTGTGTATCAGCTCGTCGGTAGCGTTGCCCTCACCACAGCACAGCACGCCGCAAGCGGAGCGAGTAGCCCTAGCACGCCCGCGGCATAGACCGTAGGATCGGTACCTGATGGAATAAAATAGAAACATTTTACTTGACAGAAACATTTTTAAAAACAAGCTTTTATTATGTACCTACAGATTGCGGCACCATCATCAGCTACAAGACATGTTTCATAGTCATCTATGTTGGCCGTTTGGTGTAGTGGTTCGAAACGGACTACTATTCCGGAGGTTGCGGGTCAATTCCCGCACAGTGCAAACATGTGTGTGCATTACATATTAAAATTTGTTTGTATTGGACTGGGTGTTTTCTATGTATAATATGTATGTATTTACAAAAAAAAGTATTTGAGTATGTTTATATCCGTTGTCTAGTACCCTTGGTACAAGCTCTGCTTAGTTTGGGACTAGAAGCGCAGTGTAAAATGTCCAAGGATATTTATTATTATTTATCTAAATTACATGTGTATGCAAAATTTCAGCTCAATCGGTTGTCAGGAAGCTTTTAAGGTTTGTTTAACCCAAACATACATTGCAAATGGAAAAAAAATAAAAATATCTTGTAAAGCTAAGCGTCCACTTGTGGGTATCGTACGCAACGGACGCATCGTACGAAACACATCGTATCGGATGTGCGATGCGTACGATGCGGACAGGTGGACGCACTTATATGAGTTTCCATATAAATAATACAACGATCCGTTGCGTGCGATACGTCCGATGCGTACGATACCGACATGTGGACGCTTAGCTTAATAAGACCTTAAGGTGGACCGACGACATCGTAAAGGTAGCAGGGAAGCGCTGGACGCAGGCCGCTACCAACCGGGTAACATGGAAAGCATTGGGGGAGGCCTATGTTCAGCAGTGGACGTCGTAGGGCTGAAATGATGATGATGAAGACCTTAAGACCATGGGCGTGCCCAGCTATTGTCCCAGGGCTTTCTGACCTAGAAAAGTGATTTGAGAGTGAGACACTATTTATCAAAGATGTAGTGGGTAAAAATATGTAATAAATAAATAAAAGGAGCTTTTTAGTGAAGCTTTCTTCTGCTCGACCTCTTACCTCCTTAGTACGTCCATTTTGTACCACTGCCGTTCTTCTACAATGTTTTATTCGATGTACATACACGTAAAATAAAAAAACAAAATCGTTTAATAACGGGCGGCCATTAGAGTAAGTGAATGTTGTTAAATTATATGCACTTACGATTGCGGCACGTCCCAGCGTAGCACCAAGTTGCACCGGGGCAGATCTATGCCCTCCTCTAAGGCAGATGTCGCTAGCAGCAAGTTACATTCGTGCATTCGGAATCTGCAAATACAACATTATTTTAATAGGGCTGATTTTTTACTGAAGAATAAGTCAAATGGGAAATATGTCAAAATGACAAGGTTATTCTTCAGTTAAAAGATATCTGACGATTGAAAAACCAGCCCATAGGGTGTTATTTCAATCATTAATATCATAACGTTACGTTACGTTTCAGCCAAAAGACATCCACTGCTGGACAAAGGCCACCCCAAGGTTTTCCACAATGCACGGTCCTGCGCTGCCCGCATCCAGGCTCTTCCCGCGACCTTCACCAGATCGTCGGTCCACCTAGTAGGAGGCCTGCCCACGCTACGTCTTCCAGCCTGTGGTCGCCACTCCAAAAGTCGCGAGCTATATGTCCCTTAGTGACTTAAGACTTTTTTTCCTCAAATGGATCACGAGTCGGCAATCTTTACCTGTCGGCTATCGTCGCTTTTTTACTTGGATGGTATTATAATCATTTCGTTCAAAAATGGCGACATTTTGCGTATCAACCACAAAAACTGACCAAATACAGATTTACCTGTTTTGTCTTACGATTCAGTCGACCGGTCACTGGACTAGGCTGACTAGGGCGTCGAGTAATCCGTATAAAAACTTATAAAACTAATTTATTTATTCAAGTAGGCTTTTAAAAAGCACTTTTACACGTCCCAGTGCTAACCCTACTACTGCTTCGGGACAATAAATGGGCCAGTGCTGAGAAGAAGCAGCGCAAGAAACTCGGTCACTATTGTCAGCCTCTTTTTCAAATGTTTACAGACTTTAAAATATACAAAGTAACAAATATTTATGCGTGCTAGGCAATTAAGCATCCCAAACAATTTTATCTTTTAAATAATTATCGACTTTAAGTAGCCCTTTTTTCATTAAGGTACTTTTATTTTATGCAACGCAAATGTTTAAAAATAATAAACTCACTTCTTCAGCACTTCTTCTTGCTTCTTGCTCTGCCTCTGGCACTCTTTGGCCTCCGTCGCAGGGTCGGCGGGCGTTTCCACAGCGCAGTACTGTGCGCACAGGTAGGACAGAGAACGGTGCGCGCGAGACATGTCCTGAAAGATTTAATTTGAAAGATAAGATAAAAATATTTATTTACATAAACATGTGTGAAAACATATTACAGAGCAAACTATAAAGACATGATTTGGTCTATCAGTTTTACAAGTGCTTCAACATGATTTACCAAAATATTGACATGTAAAATAAGAATGTCAATAATTTTACTTATTGTTGATTAAAAACACTTTAAGAGCGTTNCGGTGCGAGATAACCTTGGTGACCTTCCACGTTTCACACCCATAGAGCAGAACTGATTTAACGTTGGACCCGAATATTTTGATCTTGACCCTTCGGGTCAATTTCCGTGACTGCCATATGGGGCGAAGTTGTGCGAAGGTAGCTCTGGCCTTGGCAATGCGCGAAGTGAAATTTTTTATGGGAGCTGCACGGGATGGTTTTTGTGACGTCAAACGTCAGCCAGACTTTAGATGTGCTTCAGACTTGTATGCTCTGTCATGTCATCATGTCAGTGTCAGTCATCCCTCCCATGCTGACTTAGCTAGACCTATAGTGATTTAGTTGAGCTGTCGCTTCTGCTGGCAACTTCCTTCCATGCACATTTATTATCATCCTACTAATATTATAAAGGCGAAATTTTGTGTGGATGTTTGTTACTCTTTCACGCAAAAACTACTGAACGGATTTGGTTGAAACTTTACAGTATTATTATTTGTAACCCAGATTAACATATAGGCTATAATTTATGCCAATCTGTGGCACTAAATTTCACGCGGGTGAAGCCGCGGGCAAAAGCTAGTCTCTAAAAGTAAGTAGTACCAGGCAAACTCTCCGATACTCTCATTTGGCCGGTTTTTTGTAAATTTATCAAAAATCTACCATTTTTTCGTCCACTTCTACCGCTTCTAAGCTCTACTCCGATAAAAATTACATAAAATAATATGTAATCGTCCAAAAACATTCCCAAAAACGGCTCAGGCTTGTAATTCGTTTGGACTCGTTGTTTTATTACAGTCTACTAAGATATTGCATTTTAAACCTTAATTACTTGTAACAAAGTTCAAAATCGAAAGTGTAATCTTTCATATGCAACTGACAACTAAGTCTTCACGCTGAAATAATCCTTATATCATAAAAATAGAGATCAAAATAGCGTGGAGATTTCATGGAATTTATTATAGGTGTGAGTTTTTGGGTTTTATAATGAGGGTAGGCTAGGAATCGTGTTCGAAATAAGAGTTCATTAATAACTTTAATAATTTAATAGATACCAAGAAAGGTGTAATAGTACGTTATTTGTGCTTCAAAAATGTAGAAAATTAATGTCCATATTACCACACTAGCGGCCGCCCGCGACTTCGTACGCGTGGATCCCGTTTTACACCCTTAGGGGTGGAGTTTTGTAAAATCCTTTCTTAGCGGATGCCTACGTCATAACATCTACCTGCATGCCAAATTTCAGCCAGTGGTTTGGGCTGTGCGTTGATAGATCACTATGTCAGTCACCTTTGAGTTATAAAAATGTGCCTATATTATCTAGATATGAAAATCTAAAAAGTCTAAAAACACTCGATATTTTGACCAAAAACATAATATTGAAATTTGACAGTTGATGGACTGATTTGGATTAGGATTGAATATAGAAAACCAGCAATAATAAGATAATTTTATTATTTAATTCAATTTCATTTTATTAAATAAACAAATCTTGAACGAGGACAGGACAAATTCTGGAGCGGGACAGGAATTTTGGGGAGTTCCGGGAATCGTGTCAGGAAATTGGGAACTGTGAAGAAAATAAATTATATTTTAAGTTTTCATGGAGTTTTAAGATGTATTTTGAAGCGAGATAAGACGATTTTAGTCGCTTTGTAACGCAAGTCGTTCGTAGTCAGAATATTAGGTAACTTATCACAAAGAACAAATATCCCCAATTCCACCCACAAGGTGGACCGACGACCTCATAAAGGTAGCAGGAAGGCGCTGGATGCAGGCCGCTACCAACCGGGCCATGTGGAAATCATTGGGGGAGGCCTATGTTCAGCAGTGGACGTCATGTGGCTGAAATTATGATTTGGGCCTCCCTCAACGATTTACATATTGACCGGTTAGTAGCGGCCTGCATCCAGCGCCTTCCTGCTACCTTTATGAGGTCGTCTGATCAACCCACCTTGTGGGTGGACGTCATATGTCCATTAGTCATCAATAATATACCTACTTACATATCGTTTCATCCACGAAGATGCGCCCCACCAATTTTTGGTCTCGGTCGCGCGGGGTGCGGAGTTTGATCCGAGCAATCCGAGCGTCATTATTGTAGTGCGCGTGTGCACTCATGGATGATTTAGCGTGTACAGATAACACTGACATTAGCGGAAGAATGGTGGGGCGCGTCTTCAAAAATCAAAATCAAAAATCAAAAATCAAAAAAATATTTATTCAGTTTAGACCACAAGTGGCACTTATGAACGTCAATAGAAAATAATAAAAAAAGAAAAAGGTAGCCCTTATGGGGCACTTTACATGTCTCCTTATCTTTTGGGCCCTACCAGCGCTTCGAGACAAACATATGGCAAGTGCTGAGAAGAAACGCCGGAACAAACTCAGTCACCACTTATTGCCAGGAATTATCTAAAGGTAAGAATAGTCAAATTTAAGTACATCAAATATGTGCAGACTGAACTGACCACGCATCCTTGTCATCAATATAGTCTCGAACCTTGTAGTACCCTTTGGACATAAGGGTATTTTTTATATGTATCTTAAATTTGTTTATTGGCAATTCGACAAGGTTGTGTGGTATTTTGTTAAATATGGTAATACATTTCCCCAAGAATGAATTACCTATCTTATGCAACCTAAATGATGGAACAGCAAGTTTATTCTTATGTCTCGTGTTAAATGAGTGGACGTCACTTTTCTTAGTAAATAAATGTATATGTTTACGGACATACATAATGTTATCAAATATGTATTGCGAAGCCACAGTCAATATATTGATTTCTTTAAAAACTTCTCTAAGCGAGTCACGTGGTTTAAGACCGTATATTGCCCGAACAGCTCTTTTCTGTAAAATGAAAATTGATTCTATGTCTGCTGCTGAGCCCCACAGTAAAAGACCATAAGACAATGAAACGATCTATTTATTTTAAAAGAATAATAAATTAACTCACCATAAGAAGAATACACAGCCAACACCAGCAGCAGAAGCCCTCGCACCACCAGGTCACTGACCCCCACCCGCACGACACTCAAAATGGCCGACATGGTAACAAAATGGCGGACTAAACTATGTCACTGAACTAGAGCACATCACATAATACTAATTTTAATTTAACTGAGGTTCTAAAATTTGAATATCTTGAAGTCATTCGCGTGATGCTGGATCTGGAACAAGGAATAAAATAATTTTTAATTATCAAGTTATATTATGAACTAAATATTTAAATTTAAACGTGTTGTTCTTGCAACTCACGAAGGCGAGTGAGCTTTACTTATTTGTGTACGTGTACATGCACATAACGATAGTGTAATGTCTATCAAAACTTTTGGAAAACGAACAGTAGCGAGCCACCACACGTGTAAAGCTCACTCGCCTTCGTGAATTGCAACAACTATAATTAAATGAACTGGATAAAGCTATCCTACTACGTTATAAACTAGCTTGAAATTCAGTTTGTCACGAGTAATTTGGTCAATTAATTTTAATTTAATTGATAGTAGAAATATTTCGTTTGCCACCGATTACCTTAGATTAATAAAACCTAGATAGATAGTCAGTGCACGAAAGGTGAGGCAGATTTTAGTAAGCCAGAATGGCTTACTCGTAAACGTCACATGAACTGTCAAAGTGAAAAATTGGTAAACACGTCCGACGACTTTTAATTAATTAAGACGGTTTGTGCTGTGAAAGGGTGTCTAAATACATCAGAAAAACTAAAGAAAGTGACCAGTATTACATTTCATAAGTAAGTACTACGATTCGACGCGTATTTTGCTTGAATTTGGCTTTCAAAAATTAAATACGGGAATGATACCAGTAACAAGAAAATTTATTTCCCAATTGTTCGCCGTACAAATACACTTCCTTTTTTATGAAATCGAGACTTTTCAGTCGATTTATCTTATTGTAATTAGGTAGGTACTTTGAATTCAATAAATAAGTAAGTACATGATGCGTTTTGTTTTTGTTAGTTATAAAATAATTAAAAACGTATTAAAAATTTCCCTACTTTCGGGAAAATCGCCTTCACTGTCTACACTCCCCAACAAAATTGACACTAATGACATAAGATTTTTGCCTCACTCTTGACGAAGCGTTTGTATGAAGACTATCCATCTAGGTTTTATTAATCTAAGAAAAATTAAATACGGGAATGATACCAGTAACAAGAAAATTTATTTCCCAATTGTTCGCCGTACAAATACACTTCCTTTTTTATGAAATCGAGACTTTTCAGTCGATTTATCTTATTGTAATTAGGTAGGTACTTTGAATTCAATAAATAAGTAAGTACATGATGCGTTTTGTTTTTGTTAGTTATAAAATAATTAAAAACGTATTAAAAATTTCCCTACTTTCGGGAAAATCGCCTTCACTGTCTACACTCCCCAACAAAATTGACACTAATGACATAAGATTTTTGCCTCACTCTTGACGAAGCGTTTGTATGAAGACTATCCATCTAGGTTTTATTAATCTAAGCCGATTACATAAAAAAATTGTAGTTTCATCAAATACCGTAAGGTTGTTTTGTGACAGACGTAACAAACATCCATCTTTACAAATTAGAATGTTATGTTACCATCATGCTTAAGCCTAAACCAATTTAGATGTATTTGGTACAGGTCTCTGTACCTTTCCCTAGGTCTCTAGGGACATTAAACACATTTTTATAGGGTTTTTTTAACAGGCGCGAAAATTTTTATAGACCTTAATCCACACGGGTGAAGCCGCGGGCAAAACCTAGTTAAACATAATGCACATCGTCTACTAAAAGGTCATCTTCCAACCCTCAGTGAATCACCATTATTAATACGTTAATAAGAATAATAACTTATCCAATACAAAAGTCGTATTTGCCGCTGCAATTTGAACTTTATTGCTATAGAGTTAGGGGCTAAGGGTTGTATTGGGGATGACACGCATTATCTCCTAATAAATATTATGCTCATATCAGGTTACATGCCGTCGCCGTGTAAAAGGTCTGCTAATGACATATAGGCCAGGGGCCAGGAGACTTGTATCAGCAACTAGCTGACCCGGCGAACTTCGTACCGCCTATGTACATCAGAAACATAGTGATTCTATGGTGATTTTTTTCAAATCGAGCAAAGGACTTAAGTAATTTAACGCATTACAACAAATTAATAGTTTTTTAAAAAAAAATTGCCTGCCGCTGTCTATCCCGAAAACTATAATCCGGGCCTTTTCAAGGCGAGAGTGTATAGGCACTTACAGGGCAGATATGTACCATCCTAGACAGCATCCCATTTAACATCAGGTGCGATTGTGGTCGAATAACTACTGCCTTGTTATGCATAAAAAAAAAGTCTAAGTAGCATTTCATCATTTCAGCCACAAACAAGACGTACTTGTTTGTGGCTTAAATGATGATGATGAAGAGACAAAATCTTATAATGATTATTAAATCTTGAATCAGTATAATATTTTCGGACAACAGAACATCAAACTAAACACAGTGGTACAACTAATAACATTTATTACAACTAATTTATGAAGCATGTATATTTTAAACCGATATCCCAACAAAAATGTTTGTCTGATGTGCTGTCGTATGTACTTGAAGTCTTTACATCAACAGCACCCTGTCCCCTAGACTATATCACGCGAGTGCTAATGCAAAAGACAGAATGCACTTGTTTCACGTATTTTCGTTTCGTCCCGTTAATTAATTATGTTCTCCAGAACAAATACGGTGGGTATTTTTCTAAGCTGACCTCCGTCTAAAAGGACGTTGTCACAGTAGGTATAATTCAGTACGTAGGGTTGCCAAGCGTCCGAATTTGTCCGACGACCGGACGACAGGTCTATGGTTCCTTCTTAAAAACCGGGATAAAAACGATCCTGTGTAAATATGTAGGGATCGTTTGAGACTTGATGAGGTTTTCCCAGATTTCATTGTTGTTGAAAAATTTACAAAATATCACTATACAAAATTTAATCTAAATCGGTTCAGTTGTTAAGCTGACAAACGAGAAAACATATTTTTTAGAATCCTATAACTCAAGTTCTAAAAGAATTACTTATAAAATTATGTTCAAGATAAGGGCTTCTTAAATAAGACTGAACAAGTTTATGTAAGTCGGGACAGAATAGATCATATCAGAATAACATTTTTTACCTCTAAGCTAGTTCAGACAAATGTATAATAAAATTCCCCCAACCAATAAACATCACATAGAGATTCATAGAAACTTTATTACAAAACCTGATAAAAAGTCTATTTAAAGGGACTCGAAAAGAAAAAAAAAACCCTCTATCTATTCACCCTACATCCCGATTGTAATTCACGTTCTTTTTCGATTTAAAAACATTACACCATTAATGATAAAAATAATACAGTACTTTGTCTTTTTATATCCTAGTAGAGAAATAACCTATCCCACAGATATAAAATCAAGTGAAAAAGAAAATGCTTCCATAAAAGATGGCCGTCATGACAATAGCAAAAGGCGGGAAAAAATGCACAAATACACACTACAGATGTTTTACAGCAGAAACTAAATCTGAACTGATTTTTTAATTTAATTTAATTTAATTTACTACGTTGTCTCTCTTTTTCTCTTTAAAAAAGTTTATTTAAAAGAAAGATATACTGTCATGGTGACAAAAAGTCATCCGTGCGCGCATTGCTTTACCATAGACTAAAACTGGGACTCTTGCACTAGCTATTATATGTTTACCATTATACAGAAGGAAGACATAAAAAGCGTTTAGTTATGCAAAAACCTTAAAAAGAAAGGTGTTTTACTCTTAAAGCCCTAGTGACATTTAGCGCTAACTTTCTGATATTATCAATATACGAAAGTCAATAAGGTTAATGACTTGTCGAAATTGACATTTAAGATCCGAATTAAATTAATATACGGCGGAATACGCAATGTCTGACCTGGTTTTGAATTTGAATTTATTTTAATAGACAATAATAATAATTTTAAGTTGTGCGTTAAATAGTTTGTGACACCCAAAGTAGCCAAAAAGTTCGCAACACGTCTTTGTTACAATTAGGGCTATCGTTTTTATACTTAACAGTTGGCACCCCTGGCGATTGACAGGACCTTACTCTACAGTGGCGCCATCTTGATGAGTGCAAATGCGATAGTCCTCCTACCACTTTAGCGCTCACCAGTTGGTGCCACTGTCTTCGCTACTAGCAAGTGACAGGACCTTACTCTACAGTGGCGCTAACTGGTGAGCGCTAAAACGATAGCCCTCATTGGAATAAGGTAGTTTTGTCAACTTTTTGGCCACTTTGGGTGTCACGAACTATTTGACGCTGACTGTACCTCTAACCAGACAGTTAAACGAGTTTTATTGATGCAAATTTGCGATTTTAACAATCTTCTATGAAAAACATTTCGATCTAGCCCTTCATGAAATATTATAACATGAATTTTATTTCAAAACTTGGGTATTTTGTCAGTTGTTTATTGTTTTTTTACTGTTGTTGTTTTTAGGATATTTTTATCAGTAAAAGATGTACAGATGAACAGATTTAGCATTTTTTTGTAAGTCCACCCACATAATCCTTATTTAAACCTTCAGAGTGTTATTTTTCAAGAAACAGAAAAATAGTATAAAGTATTTTTATAATTTACTAGCTTTCCGCCCGCGGCTTCGCCCGCGTTGAATTTTGTCTGTCACAGAAAAACTTTATCGCGCGCGTCCCTGTTTCAAAAACCGGGATAAAAACTATCCTATGTTCTTTCCCGGGACTCAAACTATCTCTATGCCAAATTTCATCAAAATCGGTTGCGAGGTTTAAGCGGGAAAGCGTAACAGACAGACAGACAGACAGACAGACAGACAGACGGACAGAGTTACTTTCGCATTTATAATATTAGTTGGGATAATTATGTTTTGTTAAAACCTAAACCTATCAGACAGACTAAAAACTATTAGAGATTTATTTCCTACCTTTTTCATTATCTGTCAATTATTTAAGTGATGCAATAATATCGATAATCTCACTACACTTTATCGATACTTTCCTCGACTCGGTACAACACTCGTCGTAACTGAACGCGGTGGCGGCACAAAAAGAATTAAGTGAGACGATGTAAAGGGGTCCGGAGGGCGCTGCTCTCGAGCGCACTTCAAATTATACAGGTGAAACGGTAGGGATGTGCAGGCGATATCGATA